GGAGACTGGCAAAATTTGTTCTCTTTATCGATGTTTCGTTATATCAAGGTTCTTTTTCGTACATGTTACTATTACTAGGGTAAAGAAAATTGTTCGTTGTACCGAGGACCTCGTTATGTAGATTTCGTTATATCGAGGTTCCACTGTAGTTGGTCATATGCAATTTCAACTTTCGTTAACTGATTGCCGCTCACCTGTTGAATAGCCGAAAACTAGCAAAAGGCTGAGAATTTACCATGCCTCTTACCTGGTCATCCAATGGAAGATGCAAAAACAAGTCCCTATGAACAAAAACAAATACTGAGTCAGCACGTATGGCAAGGGGACTTCTGTTTTCAAACTCTCAACAAAAATTCTCTGTCAGCCTCTCTAGTTTTTGGCAAAGAAACTTTCTTGATTTCTTTATCACTTGAGCATTAGTCTGAGTCTTATCGGTTAGCAGAGGTCATGATATTTCTATTTCTCTAGAAAAAGACTGCAAATTAACCAGCAGCTGAACTTGGTCTACTCTAGGGACAAATACATCAATAATTCAAACTTACCCATGGAGATTTACCGGTACTTACCATTAAAGAGTTCACCAAAATAAAAGCATACTTCACGGAATCGTGGAAATCAACAAAGAATCCCAACAACCACGAGACCCCAAGAAGGGGAAGCAGGGCAACAGTACTTCTTATGCCTCTCCTATAAAGAGACATTCACGGCTTTTTCAAAAGCATGTTACTATAAATTGCGCAATCTATCAAGTGTCCTCAATAGCTATTTTCCGTAGTTGTAAATAAACCTACAGGAATAGTAGAAATAATTTAGTATCGAGCCTTCTTATTGTTCTACAAGTGAACTTACCTTGTAGCGTCTATTTTATTTCTGCCATATTTGCTGGATATTTTACCAAATACAACTCTCAAAATGATCACGAACAGAATCAAGTTTATCTGCAATGTAAAAAATAATGTCGTTGAACTGCTGGTGAAAGGGCATAAAATGAAATCCCGAAGGGAGGTAACTAAACAGCACTGAGTANGAATAGCCGAAAACTAGCAAAAGGCTGAGAATTTACCATGCCTCTTACCTGGTCATCCAATGGAAGATGCAAAAACAAGTCCCTATGAACAAAAACAAATACTGAGTCAGCACGTATGGCAAGGGGACTTCTGTTTTCAAACTCTCAACAAAAATTCTCTGTCAGCCTCTCTAGTTTTTGGCAAAGAAACTTTCTTGATTTCTTTATCACTTGAGCATTAGTCTGAGTCTTATCGGTTAGCAGAGGTCATGATATTTCTATTTCTCTAGAAAAAGACTGCAAATTAACCAGCAGCTGAACTTGGTCTACTCTAGGGACAAATACATCAATAATTCAAACTTACCCATGGAGATTTACCGGTACTTACCATTAAAGAGTTCACCAAAATAAAAGCATACTTCACGGAATCGTGGAAATCAACAAAGAATCCCAACAACCACGAGACCCCAAGAAGGGGAAGCAGGGCAACAGTACTTCTTATACCTCTCCTATAAAGAGACATTCACGGCTTTTTCAAAAGCATGTTACTATAAATTGCGCAATCTATCAAGTGTCCTCAATAGCTATTTTCCGTAGTTGTAAATAAACCTACAGGAATAGTAGAAATAATTTAGTATCGAGCCTTCTTATTGTTCTACAAGTGAACTTACCTTGTAGCGTCTATTTTATTTCTGCCATATTTGCTGGATATTTTACCAAATACAACTCTCAAAATGATCACGAACAGAATCAAGTTTATCTGCAATGTAAAAAATAATGTCGTTGAACTGCTGGTGAAAGGGCATAAAATGAAATCCCGAAGGGAGGTAACTAAACAGCACTGAGTAAACTTGAATGTAATCTGCTGTGAGTCAAAAGATGAATTTTGTTTCAATGAGCAATAACTTTTTCAAGTGACACACTTGACGGTTTGTATTGCACCCTCATCCATGTTATCTGCAAGAAGTAAAAATTTTAAACTCTAACATCCATCGTCTTATACTACATGTTGAAGTGGCTGTCAGGCCTCGAACCCAAACCTGGTTTCCTAACTCTGTCTAGGCAATCCACTTCTGAGTATGCAGCATATATATGTGGTAGGCTTAGACTTCATGGCCCAAATAGGAGGAGCACTAGGGCTGGTGTAGTTGTGAGAGTCCCCGCCTTCCACCAATGAAGCCTGCTTTTAAGTCCCCGGGTTGGACACCAAACGAAGCCTGATTTTGTTGTTGTTATTGTTGTTTTTGTTTTCTTCGAGAGGTTTCCCTTCGGGTACTTCGAATTTCATCTGTTTTCCAAAACCCATAAACTCCAATTTGAACTACAATGTGTTTCCGTTTAGTTGGAGGGCCACGGGTTTAATTCTTAGCCTATAATACAAATTTCACCCTCAAACTTGGGTAAGGGCTGCGTGGATGCCATGTGAAATCATTGGTGCTCACCAAGAGAATTGCTAAAACTGGACCCTGGTAAATCCACTGACTGCCGTTTATCCAGCATCTGTAAAGACAGAAATAATATAAAGATGATGCTTGCCGGATGATAACGATGTTGTCGTGTTTGAGTTGTAGTTGTTGATGATAGCGGAGCTCCACGCGCGCGCGAAAGCGCGCGCGTGGGCGGAGCCCCATAGCTAAGGAAATCTACCCATCCCAGAAAATTTGGTAATCACGTGACCGACCGACCGAGCGACCGACCGTCCGTCCGCACCACAGGCATACCAATGTTTACTCTCACACTTTCTAGCTACTTTGGGAGCCCAGGAGAAAGCTGATTGCACATCAATGTTGTCATCAATTGACAGCTGTCAAAACAGGGTATCCGCTGACCACTATCACCTGACCGAATCGCAGGCTCAGGTGTCGACCCATCGAGGTTGAGTATTTTTTGAAGTTATCCGCTGACAATTTACTCGTTTTCAAATGATCGCAGGCTCACGTTTACTTTTGTTTTAAATTCATACCAAATATGGTGTGTTTATGTCAGTATCGCTCCGCACTATTACGATTTTGATTTCAAACTGACTTCAGACGCAAAAATTCTGCCAGTTTTTTTAAAATACAGGCGGGGAAGACCTTTTCTTACCATAGCCACGTGTTGGTCACGCTCCACGTCCAATTTTTATGCTCTGATTGGTTAAAATTTGACAGGTGAGTTCATGCGTAAAATTTATGCAGCACCTTGAAAGTTGTTTACTTTGACAGCTGAAGCTGACAGAGTTTTGAGTCAACTTGTGATGTTTTAGCTGTCTTTTTCCACTGGATGTACAAAATGAAATACAGCTGCTATCAAGAGTGTTCTCTTATTCATGGCTGGTTTGTTTATTGGGTTTTTGGTTGAAAAATGCGCCGCTTGTCAAAGCCGATAATCCGATTTCGGATGGCATCGTTTTTGTTTTTCACCTTGCTGGATGCGTACGAGAATTATAAAGGCTCAAGCGATCCTTGCCTTATTTGATAGCTTTCAGGAGCTGCATCTCGAAATATGGTAAGCCTGAGTAATTATTGTATTTAATCTAATTTCATGAAGTCCAGCTGCGCAGTTTATGAAGCTAGTTTATGCACGTTTGTATTAAGATTTGACTGAGACACTGATCTGACCTCGTATGAGGTTTGATATAGGCTTAAGCTTAGAGAACTTTAAAAAGCCTTTAGTCGATATTAATTCACCTTAAATAGAAAGAAAAAACTTTCCGAAGAATATTTAGTTATAATTTTGGCTGTAGAAAGAAAGCTTTGAACGATTTTCTTTTCGTGAGTTCATCTTTGAAAACAGCCAACACCGGAAAACCGGCGGCTTAAAACATAAACATTAAGCTTGCTAGTAAAGACTTGAGGATTCTTAGACACACTTAAATACTCATTTGTTTTCGTGAATGAAAATTGTTGTCTCTGTAAATGTTCTATCGAATTATTTTTCTTTATTGATTTTTGGTAGTCTCAAAAGTGTAATTTTCATCGCTTTGCCGTTTGTTTTCAGGCGTTCATAAACATCGCTCGCAGGAGTACTCAAAATGCCAAGCGTATCAAACGCTTTTTAAGATTACACATCGTTATAAAACCGTTAATAAAAAATAGACTCAATAAATTCTTTATCACGTTGAGGCGTAACTCGTTTAAAATTTCTTCGCAAATTTGGCGCTTGTCAAAAGTTAGAACCGGCTGGCCGTATGGGTGATTTTGGAAATTTTTTGAACGGTTTCGCTAATTAAAAGTCCACGCGTGCTTCTGCGGTCCTGAATATTGAATGAATGCAATTTGTCTTGAAGTATTGTGAAATACTGCATTTTGTACGAGGTCTGTATGATAAAAACAGCGCCTCATAGTACTTTTTCTCCTCAGATGTGGTGTATAAAAAAAATAAAAGATTGGTTTGCACGCACCCAGATTTATTGGCAAGAATTTGTAAACTTGTCGAACGCAAAAAATTCGGTCTGATTTGTTTTCCAAGAATTTGTTTTGCACGCCTTATCTACTGTGATCAAGAGCCATCATTGCTCTTAAATGTGACCGAAGACTATTTTTTGGGTGTACATATAAGGCTATATCAACTCGATACAAAATTTGTTTCACTCCAAAATCACTTAGCTTTTCCCTCAAAAGTCACATGAATGTGCCCTTACGTTAACTGATTTGTGGAATACAAAATTATTGTTTGATTTGAGTTATAAATTTATCAATGGGAGCTTCGCTTTTAGCTGTGGCTAAATATATATATTATTTATGACGATGTCCATGCAAGTTTTTGACGATGATGATGATCATGATAATGATGATGATTTAGAATAATGAGGTGACCAAAAATGATATATTACTATAATGGTATTGAACTGCAGTAACAGTAAGGTTGTTAACGTAATGTCGGTGTACCTGGTTCTTTCGATCTTCGCGGCAATGTTCAATGGTCCGCATGTAATGTTCTTATAGAAACTTTTCCCCATGTCATAAGAAGAAGGACGAATAGCAGCCACCAAGCTAACGATGACTGCTGGTATTCCTTAAATTATGACAATAAAACCATTTTCTGTTAAATATACACTGAAGGTCTGTACAGTTAAACCCCTCAAAGGTCCTCATATACACGAACAGCAATTTGTCTTCAGAGGGGAAAGGGCATTTATTTTAGAGGTAGAGTATTTATGAACTACGGTTATAACGGTAATTTTGAAAAGAATTAAACTTGTATATGATAAAGGCTTTTCACTGTAGAGCCACTTCGAGTGCATCGCATTATAATTTCTTTACAAATTTGAAAAGCTTTGAAAAAACATTATAAACAGGAAAAGCCCAAAATGATTCATACATTTTGATGGTCACTGACACAACTTCCCTTTTCAAACAAGTTTAGATAGTTTTTGCCTTGATTAATCTCTGTCCATTCAGACTGACATAATAATAATTAGCCTTGCTTACAAATACTATTGGCGTGAAACAGAATCTTTTGAACATCTAAGGCGCTGAAAACTACTTAATCATTATATCCGAGATACATATGTAATGTATGAATTAACTAAGAGATAATTATTCGCATTTACTTTGACAGTGAGATACTCACCAACTCTTATAAACCTTTGTATTTCTTAAAAACTTTTCTTGTTCTTATTTATTCAATTGTTTTGTGTGTGAACATTTTACAAATTATATCCATCAAAATTTAGAATTGTATAACCAATAAAACAATCCCGCAATAAATTGCTTCCATTTATGAATTCTTCAGTTGAACACTTTTAGTGGTATTTTGTAACCGACAGAACCACATGAAGTCACATGGAGGCTTATGTCACGTGATATAAAGTGTTGTGGCAAATATATCACGCCCTACTTCTGCCCAGTAATTATGTTTCATCTTTAGAGATCAGTCTTTCACTTGAATAAAAAAGGCTAAATATTCGAATTTGGTAAGAAACAATTTTCAGGAATAGCATTAGTATGTTTTATGACGATATTTATAAGTGATTAATTCTCTTAATCAAAATTACTTGATGAAGGAATCTCGTATTCAACTGACAAATGTCATATCTGTTCTGATCGTAAAAATATAAAGATACGAACCCCATGAGGCTTATTTGCTAAAATTAGAGAAAAATCTGTCGTAGAGTTTGCAAGTTAAAGACATTTTTTTTTGTAAAAATGCGGTTTTAAACATACGCTGATACTTCGAGCGTTTTTATCAAGAAAATAAATAACATTTTCTTAAAGTTGCTCCATTCTTTGTTAAGGATGCCAAAAAACATAGAAATCGGTTGAACCGTTCCTGCCGAAAAACGCGATTCAAAAACATGACTAACAAGCATATAAATAGGTGTGGACCACCTTTTAAAAATTGCATTTCACAAAACCTGCATGATTGCGAGCTACAGAGTTCTAACTAGTCTCCAATGGAGAAAAATGCGGTTGCCAGTGAAGAGTTTTGACTGTGCATCGCATTATTGATAAGATTAAAAGGGGAAAACTAATCTAACGCAAAACTTGTAAACTTTAGGAACGTAAACCATAAAACTTAAGACAGCTGCTTACAATATGATCCATCCGTGTAGAAAATGAGGCGATATCCACAATGTACACGAGGTTACCAAGTCCAAGAGAAAAGAGAAGATTCTTGTTAACGAAAATTCTCTCGCTGCTTTTAACCCTATAGAATGAATAAAATAAAATGGAAAGTAGCCCAATTTTTTGCACAGTGCTTTCAACGGATTCTTCGTGCAGGCATGGACGTCTCTTGTGTCTTTTTAGCGATGAAAAGCGACCGTCTTCGTCGGCTATAGAAGGTTGCTTATTTTTAAGAATCATTATTTGTAAGGATAATAGTTGAAAACTGTAAAGTGTAAAGTAACCTTTAGTGAAGATCACAAAAACACACAAGAGAAGAATTTTTCAGTTTAGGTCCGTTAAGTTACCTTATCATGGTAAGTATTATGAGAGACAGGATCACTGCAACAACAGATACTCCAAGAAGGACTAACTCAAGGTTCCTTTGGACTTGGTAGTGTTTGTTAGCGGCAGCAGGTTTTTGTATTTTAAACGCGTCTTTTTCCTGAAAAACAACAATAAATCGGCAATGACAATTTCATGATGACTTCAATTTACTACAACTAACAGAATCCTTCAGTTTAGTTTCAGGGAGCAAAGTATCTGTAAAATTTTGCTACATAATCGCTACGTTATTTGACCCTAACCCTAATTTGACATGTTACTTTTGTTCTTTCTTATTTTGTCGCTTTACATGTAAACTGTATATTGTACTAACTAAGTCAGTTTTTAGTTTTATCTTTGTCACTTGATAATGATGTCATGGTGACATCGAAACGTTGAGTTAAACTTTTTTCGCTTAATATTTCTTTATTCTTAAGTCTTCAACAAAATTTAATTTGATTCCTGTTTGAAAAAATCCATGCTATCAAACAGCTAGGGGATACAAAACTTTCCAATACACACCCCCATCCCCCTAGACTTCACAAAGGCCAAAGACAGTTATTTCCGATAAAGTGCGGCAGAACATTTGGCTTTATTAATAACATTTGGCATTTATTTGGCCTTATTAATAACATTTGGCCTTATTGATAAATGAGTGGAATTCGTAAGTGATTTCTTGAAAAAACATTACCTGGTCATAATCTATGTGAGGACAGTTGTTGGCCGCGAGGATAGCTTTTATTTCTTCAATAGAGGGCTCCGTTGGCTATAATAATAGTGACATCAAAAATACGATTTTAGTACGTTACCTTCTACCAGTATGAAATAACAAACCATACAGGAAATTAAAACTACTTAACACAAGTACAGTATATGATGAAGCATTTTTCATTCACATAAGATCACATAACGACTAATCGTATCAGAGCGAAGAGCTACGGGGTCTTCGGTTCGCTAGCACTTGGGTCATGTTTTAGACATAACGACTTTCGAAATACCCTCGTTGTATATAACAATTATTCCTCGAGTGGAATGGGCTTGAATGGGCTATTGACTCAGAGGCCATTCAAGCTCGAGGAATGATTGTTTTAGTAAAATCCAACTAGTTGGTAAAAAATATCGAAAATAAAAAAATTTTAGCTAGTTAAAGCTAGACTTTAATCCTTTTTTGCCGCCAAAAAGCGCGCGCTTTTCGCTACCAGTAGACTATAACGTATAGCCTAGTAGTAGCTCAACCAATCAAAACGCAGCATTGATAATAGACCACTAGTTGGATTTTACTAAAATGATTTATGCTGTTAATGCATGAAAAGCTTAAGGTGGCGAGACTGAGTTTTTTAGGGAGGATTACTCCCAAGTTTGAGCATTTACTACGTAAACAAAGCTGTATTGTATAATGATGAAAGTTTGCTATGACTTGTGTTTTATAGACATCGGAGTTATCTTGGCCACGCAATGACGCCATTACGTTTTTTACTTGTCTTTGTATTTCTCGGAAATCTCTTAAGGGAGCTTATACCTCCCTAAGCTGCCTCGATCGTGTCAAAGTTTAAACAATTTCTACGAGAGCGTTTGGAAATATTTTGAAAAGACGTTCTAAGGGTCATAAAAACAGTAAATAGCCACGCCATCGACATAATTGCCTAATATCTAAAGAAAATGAGTAATAAAATGAGTAATAAGGCCGGCATCGAAAACAGCTCCACGTTTCATTCCCTCGCTGAACTAGAATGAGTCCGTGCTTTTGACCATCATCTGGTTTATCTTGGTTGAATGAACCTTGGCGTTATTGAAATGGTGATGCTCATGTTGTACACAAATGACGTAATTCAAAGTTGCGTTCTCCTCACGTCAAACAAAATTTCTGTTTCTCAGCACTTAGCTTGGGCGATGTCTAGTTTAAAGAATCTAAGATTAGGAGCAAAACGACCTAATAAGACAAAATACTCATACAGCAGGCGTTGCCTGAAAAAGGAATACTTGTAATTTGCGTTTGCTTTTTGCTCGATGACGTCATTTTCCTGCTACTACTACTACCAGAACCCTTCAAGAGTTTGTTTTCTTTTACAAATTAGAGCTTTAGTATTTAATTATCTAGCTTGGATTATCATATTTAAATGTGAAAGGAATAAACAAACCGAATTTTGACTCATGTTCTTAGAAATGATGCAGTAATGAGTCATTCCAACCTTTAAAGTCTCTCAGATTATTCAGTATTACCTCCTTACTTGTAGTGCTGTACTTTTGAGAGATCTCAGTCGAAAAGTTAAAGACAGTTGGCGTAGGGTTTAAAGGCCTTTCAGACGGACCTTTAACAGTCTCATCTGTAATCAATGGAGCACTATTTAACTGCATAATGAGCTCTGTTCTTTTAATGAATACTTTGGGCGGGACGTATTTCACTCCAAAATTTGCCATTTGTCCATCCACCCTGTATTTGAAAATTAATAACAAAAAACGTACGATTAATATAAGAAGAATATCGTTAGCTACAATTTTAGTGGCTAAATAAATAAGATTGCCGCATCACAAAGACTTTTGAATCAAACCAATGTACATGCTAAATGAATTTATGAGTGTAAGATTCCCTGTGCATTATTAATAAGTTTTCGCCCCATGCTTATTCTTGCAGGAAAATTGACGTTAGATGACAAATTTCAAAGTCCATGAGTGAGGAGTAATTAATTTTCGATTCGATTGTACACAGGGAGACCACCATTACAAAAGTGACAGGTTTCTTTTTCTTCATTTCTTTTTTTATTGTTTGTTTGTTTGTTTATATTTTTGTTTATACTTGTTTTCCTCTCTACTCACCCAGAAGATTTAATAGAATAATAGAGTATTAAGTTGACCAATTTATAACTGTCATGTCATGGCTCCAACTGGACATTGAGAGGTGGTATCAATTCTCTGACAACGCTAATATACGTTGTGATAACATGCATCAGTTGACGATTTCTAACGAGTTATTCTAAAGATCTTGAACATGGCAATGGTTTGCTTTAGGCCACGTCCACACGAATCCGGATATTTCTGAACCCACATACTTTTTTTAACATGATTCGACCTTCCTTCCACACGAAACTGGGTGAATTCGCTCACCGAAACCGCTCTCCAGGGTGATTTAGGGCCTCGTCCACATGACTCCGCGTAGAAAAATATACGGTGTCAAAAAATGCCAGGATTCCTGTGGACGAGACCTTTATTTTTATGTTATTATGTTAAGGCTGTGTCCACACGAATCCTGACATGTTTGAAATCACATATTTTTTTATCTGGATTCGTGTGGACAGGTGCCTTAAACTGCTCTGGAGTGCATTTTCAAAAAAATTCGGTTTCGGTGTCCAAATTCACTGGTTTCATGTGGACAGAAGGCTGATTCGTGTAAAAACGTCTGCGGTTCAAAAATATTCATTTTCGTGTTGACGTAGCCTCGGTTTTCATTTCTAATGTGATTTTTAGTTGCCCTTTTAATACCTAAATAATGAGCGCGAGTATTTTCTGTTAGTTAGTCGGTTTGTTTGTCGCACGACTCTTTTGGTGCTAAAATCTCACATCTTTAGACGCCAAAATAGACTCAAAGTATTTGGAGACGACTGTAAATAACGACTAAATTCTAAACCTATCATTTTTGTCACCTTGACGGTAGCCTGCAATGCCAAAACGTCGGCCTGTAATTTTCTATCGAACACAAGTATGGCGTATAGAGTGACAATATTTTATTTTATAGATGAGTTATAGATGAATTCCAGATGGCAATATTGAAGCCAGGCCCTTGTTCAAAAGATGGCCAACAATATCCAGTGGATGAATCTATATTTACTTGCCACGCAACTGGTTTCCCTTATACGTATTTGGTGGATAATACATATATTTATCCAAAGTAATAGGCAAAGCTCCCCTTAATAGATTTAAGATTTACTTCAAACAATAAACCTGTAACCATGATTGTAAAGAAATCCAGTTTGAGTTGAGCCTACGATCAGTTGAACACTACATGTAGTAACTTGTCACAAGATAACTTTAAAAAAACACGCAGCCACGATGGGCCGACACCTGCGCCCGATACGGTCATGTGATATTGGTCAGTGGATAGCCCGTTTTGAAAGTGTGAGATTTCACATTGGTTACCCTGTGGTGCGGACGGTCGGTCGGACGGACGTACAGTCGGGTGACTACGAAAATTGCCCCGATGAATAGGTAAAAATAATTTCTTACCTATCGGCCTCCACTCGCGCGCGCGCGTGGAGCTCCACTATTATTCACCTATTTTCTTCACAAAATTGCACCATATCTCTCGTCAGCCTATTGCTTGTAAAACCTACCCAAGATTTTTTATCATGTTTCTTGGCACATAAGTTAAACCCATGGTGTAAGCTTGAGTGTTGGTTGGAGCTGTACGGAGAAATTCCAAAACTCTGCTAATAAGGTCATACCTTGCTTGAGCCTGTAATTGGTTGAATTCAGAAGTTATTTCATAAGTAGGAAAATGAAGGAGTGAATGCAGTTCCTTATGAAGTACTTTAAATATTTTCAAGCCCTGAATGTACCTCACAGTGACTAATGTTTCGACAACTTTACAATTTGGCGGGAAAACAAGAGACAGTCTTTTGATTAAGACATCGCTGAAGGGCTTGCTTGAAAAGCGAAAAAAAGCGTAAAATGTTCAATCTTTTATTAAGATTACACATAAAGGTAAAAAACATGTTGAAAACAATGATTGCTTACCAAATTACGCTGCTGACAAAACGCGGTCCGGTCAAACTGACTTACATAAAAGGCACCATCGTGAAGTAACAGTTTTATGATTTGCTGCAGAGTAAATAGGAGCCACGAAGAATTCAGACTGCGTTAAAAAAGTGAAATAATCTTTGTGGTTGGATTTGACCATAAATGAAAGTTGAGTAAGAGGCATAAATATTTTCAATTGTACCATTTTGATTGAGAAAAAGTTGCATCTAAAATCCTGAAAGTCTTGTGGCCTTTCGTCTACGATCTGCCTTAAAATTTAGGTCTTCATGTTGTGGGAGTAGTTATGTAATGATGCCATGTCTCTCACTCACTTGGTACTTTTTCCCTGTCATTTTTCAATTATTTCCGTCATTCGACCCCAAATTTCAATGACGGAATTTAGACAAAGAAATTTTTGTACTTTTTTCAAAAAATTTCTGAGTTTATCTTCTGTCATTGTTCAATTAATTTGTGTCTTACGTCTTGTACTTTTTTCTGGTTATTTTCTATCATTGACTTTTTTTTCTGATTAAATACGTCATTAGCTGATTAAGTACTGTTATCAACTATTTTCTGGTAAAACCTGTTTTATTAAGGTTGAAGTGGAAAAATAAAATGATTTAAAGAAATTAATATAATAAGATTATAAGGAGATATGTCTCAAAAATCAGTTAACAGTTCTAATTCATTTATAAGTGATAAAGAGTATAAGAGTTTATCTTTGGATCAATTAAAACAAATATTAAACAAGAAGAAACAAGTAATTAAGGATAATTATAAAGAATTAAGTGAAAAAGAAAAAATAATTCGTCATATTAGAAAAGTAGATAAACTCAATGAAAAAATAAAAAAAGGTGTTGATATAAAAAAAGAATGGAAATCAAAAAAGAAAAACCCCACTAAAAATAAAAAGATAAAATCATTTGATGATTATTTTCAGGAATGTATAAAAAACAAAGAAATACCAAAAGATACCCCTCCTTATTTTCGTAAAGCTCTTGAGAGAGCTATTAAGGAGCATAATCAAGGACTTGTAAAAGAAAAATCAGCTTTAGATGAATTTGCTAAAAAACATATAATAAAGGGAGAACCTGGTATTACTCCTTTAGAGTTTTTTAGAAATAAAGTATCTATTCTTAAAGATTTTCTTAGAAATCATCGAAATATAAAAGTAAGGTTTGTTTTGGTTTGTATGATGGAAAAAATTGATGGTAACGATAAACTAAGATTTGAAGTTCAGGGTAAAGCATATTTTCATTCAGATACTTATATTAATCTTGTATCAACCAAGGTAAAAGATTTACTTAAAAAAATTATTAGTAACATCACAGAAAAGATTAATATTTATCAGCAAAATGGTAGTGGGTGGTATTTTAAAGAAGTTATTCAACTTGAGATTCATACTGTTAAATTTAGACCAATGAAAGGTTCTTCTTATATTCCTCTTCCAGATTGGATTATGAGAAAAAAAGCAATTGTTAGTATTCGAAATAAAGATTCTAAATGTTTTTTATGGTCTGTACTTCGTTATCTTCATCCAAGAGAAAAGAATGATTGTCGTTTGACAGATTTAAAACAATATGAGCATGAGCTTAATATTCCTAAGGGATTTACTTTTCCAGTTAAAATTAGAGACATTACCAAATTTGAAGCTCTTAATCCAGATTTACCAGGTATAAATGTATTTTCTGTTAGTGATAATAAAAAGTTTTATCCGCTCCGGATGGCGTTACGTGACCCTCAAAAATCAATAGATTTATTTCTTTATGAAGAGAATGGGAAATGTCATTATTCTCTGATTAAAAACTTTTCTCGTCTTTTTCGGTCACAAATCACTTATAGAACAAATGGGCCAATTCATATTTGTAAGAGATGTTTTACTCATTTTACAAAAGAAGAATTATTACAAAAACATATCTTATATTGTTCAAATAATGAGACAGTTTCTGTGAAAATGCCAAAATCAGGATCGATTTTACATTTCAAAAATCATCACAAACAACTTCCTATTCCTTTTGTAGCTTATGCGGATTTTGAATGTTTTACCAAACCCATGAATACTTGTTGTCCTAATCCAAAAGATTCTTATAATTATAATTACCAAAAACACGAACCATCAGGATTTTGTATTTTTATTAAAGGAGTGGTTGATAAAAGAATAAAACCAATTACATATACTAAAAAAGAAGAAGACGAAAATATACCAAAAATATTCGTAGAAAAACTAACAGAAGCAACACAAAGTATTTATAATGATTTTTATCGTAGACCAAAACCTCTTATACTAACAAAAGACGAACAAAAATCATTTGATAAAGCAATGATTTGTCATATATGTAACAAAGATTTATTTGAAGACAAAGTTAGAGATCATTGTCATTTTACAGGTCAGTATCGTGGTGCTGCTCATAACAGTTGTAATCTTAAGTGTAGGAAACCTTTAGTTTTACCAGTTATATTTCATAATCTTCAAGGGTATGACGCTCATTTGTTTATAAAACAACTCGCAACTTTACCAGGTGAGTTAAATTGCATTCCTTCAACGGAAGAAAAATACATATCCTTTTCTAAAAAGATTAAAGTTGATGAGTATAGGTCTAAAAAAAACGATGAAATGGTTTCATTGTATTTTGAAATTCGTTTTATAGATTCATTTAAGTTTCTTCAAACATCACTTGCTAATCTTGTTTCAAATTTACAACCAGATGATTTTTATAATACAAAACGAGAATTTAAGAAAAATGTAGATCTACTTACTCGTAAGGGAGTTTATCCTTATGATTATGTTTCATCACTTGAAAAACTATCCGAAACACAATTACCACCAAAAGAAGAATTTTATTCAAAACTAAACGATGAAGACATAACTGAAGATGATTACCAACACGCAAGTAATGTATGGGATACTTTTAAATGTAAATCATTAAGAGATTATCATGATCTTTACCTAAAGACTGATGTTCTACTTTTGGCAGACGTATTTGAAAACTTTAGAAAAACTTGTCTAAAACATTACAAGTTAGATCCAGCTCATTATTACACATCCCCTGGTTTAGCTTGGGATGCATGTCTCAAAGAAACTGGACAGGAATTACAATTACTAAATGATTATGATATGTTAATGATGATAGAAAAAGGTATTCGTGGTGGTATTACTCATATATCAAAAAGATACGCAGAAGCGAATAACAAATATATGAAATCTTACAATCCTGATGAGGAGTCCACATTTATTCAATATCTCGATGCAAATAACCTTTATGGTTGGGCAATGTCTCAATCACTTCCAACACATGGATTTAAATGGATGAGAAACCTAACAAAAGAGACATTAATGGAAATCCTAGAAAAAGTAAATCATAGTATGTCGAATCGTGGAAGAAAAGGATATATATTTGAAGTTGATTTGGAATATCCTTCATCCTTATGGGAAAAACATAATGACTATCCTTTAGCTCCTGAAAAGTTGATTGTTAATGGTGTTGAAAAACTAATTTGTCATTTTAAACCAAGAAAAAATTATGTTGTACATTATCGAAATTTAAGGCAGTATCTTGAGATGGGAATGAGAATAACTGCGGTTCATAGAGGAATATCTTTTTACCAAAGACCTTGGATGGAACCATATATACGCAAAAACACTGAACTTCGAAAAACAGCAGCTAACAGTTTTGAGAAAGACTTTTTTAAACTTATGAATAATTCAGTGTTTGGAAAAACAATAGAAAATATAAGGAAAAGACAAAATATAGAACTCGTTGATAATCGTAAGAAAGCTGCTAAACTAACAAGTCGTCCAAACTTTGATAGGGCTACGATATTTGATAAAAATCTTATAGCAGTTCATATGAAAAAAACCGAAATTTATTTTGACAAACCAGTATATGTCGGTCAAGCAATTCTAGATTTGTCAAAAACATTAATGTTTGATTTTCATTATAATTACATCAGAAAGAAATACAAAAATAAAGCCGAATTATTGTTTACAGATACAGACTCATTAATGTACCAAATTTACACAGATGATTTTTACAAAGATATATCACATGACATAAAAAACAAGTTTGACACATCTGATTACCCCCCCAATCATCCATCTGGAATACTGACAGGAGTTAACAAAAAAGTAATTGGAATGTTTAAAGATGAAGTAGCAGGAAAACAAATAACTTGTTTTGTTGGATTACGACCAAAACTTTACAGTTTTAGAATAGAAGAGGATAAAGAGGTGCGAAAATGTAAAGGAATAAAAAAAAATGTTGTGAAAAAGAAATTAGATTTTGATGACTATGTTCAATGTTTATTTTCAGGTAAAAAAGAAATGAGAAAGATGAATATAATAAGAAGTGAAAATCATGATATATATTCGAAAGAAGTTAACAAAGTAGCTCTAAGTAATGAAGATGACAAGCGTGAAGTCCTCTTGGGTAAGGTAAAAACGATAGCTTTAAGATAATAAGATAGTTATTTAATGAATAATAAATGTCATATACAGAAGACCAAATAAAGAATTATCTAGAAATATTACATAATTATACTAGTAAACCCATTGAGGAATCAAATTTGAAAGCTAAATGTAGTAATTGTGAAAACAGTACATCTTTTACAATTGATTACGGTTATAAAATTTGTGATGAATGTGGAGTAGCAAACGGACATGTATTAGGATTTTATGATATTAAAGATTGTGATAGATTACATTATCGAAAAAAGAGTGTATATCAGCGTAAGTATCACTATGAGAAAAAGGTTAATCAGGTTTCTTAAAGAATAAACCTAAATGATGAACAAAAATACAAACTTTACAGTAAGCTAATGGAAATAGATAATAATGTTATGGAAGTACTAAACAATCAATACTGTAGAAAGAGAATGATAAGTATTTTTTATTTAATCAAAAAACTTTTGGCTGAGATGGGGGGTGAATCGAGCAAAACGAGCAAACTAATTTATCTTAAGATTTCACCACAAACTTTAGATAATTATGAAAATTGGTGGGATAGTTATAAATCACTCAAAACCGGCTAGATTTTAATATTAAAAATGATATTAAAATCACTGTTTACTTAGTTCAAACTTTTTACCATACCTACTAACAAATCTATCTGCTATAGGTGTTTGGTCAATTATCATTTCATCTACCAACTTCATGCGATCAACAAACTCTTGTTTATTAAATTCATCTCCCCGAAGAGCTGATCGCAGTTCAACAAGTACTTTTTCATAAGTAGTGAATGCAATCCTTGTCATCTCAATTTTTCTCTTATAATTATTTTTCTTTCCAATTCCCGCCACTATAATTCCAGCTCCATTTACTACTCCGAGAACAACAGGGTTTAGGGTTATTCCACCAGAAATAGTTCCTATTGCAACCAAACATATTCCAGAGATTGTAAAAACATCATCAAGAAATTTATAACTTTTATACGATTTCTTAAAACACCAGCATTTTTTGTGGTAGTGACTATAAAAGTCTTTTAGGGTTTTAACCTCTGATTCTGAAAGAGATTTATCTATGTGATTGAATTCAAAGATATCCTTCATTTAATTCTTTTGTTTATATTATCAGAAGGGGGGTTTTGGGGGAGGCACTCCCCCCACTATTCTATGTAACTACCATTTATCTTTTCTTGTAAAATTATCTTGTGATATTCAACAGAGTCGGTGTCGTAAAAGTTTGGAGAAAACATTATTTTATCTATTATACCATCTTGTGTCATAAACACAAACCCTTGGTCGTTGGTGTAACGAACTACTGGTAAGCTTAATATTGAGTTGTAGCTACTTATTTTAACTTTTGTAACATTTTGGTTACGATCTTCTATCAACCATAAAACAATTTTTTTCCCACTAAATTCACTTAGCATAGGTATTTCGCTATTTTTATTATTAACAGTTAAAGTTACTTTGTTGTTTGTTTTATTGTAGTATATATTTATTAACCTTCCACCACTTGAATCTTCTTTTGTTAGGCTAAAATCTCTATTTCTCCAATGATAAAAAATAACACAAAAAGTATATTTTTGTATACCAGCAGTAGGAGAAAAACTAACTTTATAATTTTTAATATTTAAACCTTCTTTTCTTATATCATCTAGGGTTCTATTAGGTATACCCATATCTCTTGCAGTATTACCAGTAATAGATTTCAAATAATTAAAAACAATGCCAGATGAAGTTTTATTTAATTTGTAATTATTTGCATCACTAAAATCAAAAACTTCTTCAAAATATTCTCTGTACAAATTATTTACAGTGTAAGGAGCTAATTCCTTTACCATTCCAACTGTTGCAGCACTGTTAGCAGTGTTTCTATCGAGATTAATGTTTAATATTTTTTTATTATTTGCGTTTATATCAACGTTGTACACCACTTCTGTTGGTTTGATATCAAATGCGGTGTGATAATCGTAAACTTTATCTGGATCGATATTGCTAAATGTACCAACAATTCCATAGGCAATCATGTAAACTCCTGAAAATTTATATGGAAATCTATAATGTACAACACTAGACAGTGGAATATTAACAAGAATGTGAAGAAAGAATCTATTCCCAGATGACAACTTTCGAAAATTAACTATTATCCTATGGTAGTAAATAGTAGCTGTTTTACCCCTTGAATCAGTATAGCTATGGGAGAAATTTTTTATAGTAACATTTCCTATTGTCAATCCTTTTGACGTTCCTTTGTCAACACTTATTTGTGTCCTATTCCAAAGAATATAATCAGTGTTGAGTATTTCTAGACAAAGGGTAAAGTCAGTATTTGTAGGTAGACGGTAAAAATTCATTCCCATCTTAAATTTATATCCAGTTTTATTGTATATTGACATATAAATTACTTTGTGATTATAGTCGTGAAAGTTTCCTTTGTTTGGTGGTAAGTCATCTATCTTATCTATACTAAAACTGGTTCCTCCACCCGTTTCATCAGTCCATTGAGCCCCACTTGACATGAGATAACTAAACTCATCTTTATAATGACTTGGTTGAACTGCAGTGTGATGAACTAGTTTGTCGACGTAATTTTTGGTTGCCGCATCATTGTCTTGGGTTGGCTTACTAAGATTTATTTTTTTATTATTACCAACATTAAGGTTCCCAGTCATAGTGACAGTACCATCTTTTTCTAAATAATCACTCAAATCTGGAGCAGCTGTGTTATCATCCACATACTTTTTGTTTGCAGCATCTGTGTTTGTTGTTGGAGTTGCTAGACCAACTATTTTTCTGTTTCCAAGATTTAGGTTATTAGTCATTACTACACTTCCATCTTTTTTTATAAAAGAACTTGTATCAGGTATTGTGTCATCCACATACTTTTTGGTTACACCGTCTGTGGAGTCTGTTGGTGGTCTAAGGTTAATTATTTTTTTATTATCCATGTTTAGATTATTAGTCATTTTATTTGTTCCAGCAACGTGAAGATACTTCATATCTGAGAAAGCTAATGGTGTTGGTTGTTTGGGCCCCGCTGGAGCTGGCAGATTTAATATTTGATTATTATCCATATTAAGATTTCCTTTCATTGGGTAAGATCCATCTCTGTCAAGAAATGTGTTGTCTACGTAAATTTTTGTGGCTGGATCTTTTCCATCCAGTGGTGTGCTAAGATTTGTAATTCGTTATGTATTCTTCATACCAATATTTGAATCAACTGTTAATTGTGATGTTGAGTGTGGCCCACTAGAATTATCATCTACGTATTTTTTTGTAGCAGCATCTTCATTATCACCAGGTGCTCCAACATTTGTGAGTCTTTTTTTATTAATATCATAATTACCATTTGTGGTTAGACTAAATCCAACTCCTGGAGCACCCTGAATTCCTTTAGCAAAAGGATGATCAAAAGATTGTTCGTTAAATATACCCATTTTTTTTATTATTAGGATAGATTACTAGTAAAGTTTTTAGCAATAATTTTTCTTGGTTTATCAACGTATAGAAATGTAAAGGGTTTTTTTGTTGCCGCCCTATATATCTCTTTGTCAACTCCCAACTCAGATGATATTCTGTTTGCTTCCCTCGATGATGGAAATTCATACAGACAATAGTGAGAACAATTTAGCCGTATATCCTTTGGTGTTTTGTAAAAAGACTGACTAAGGTAGATTACAGAGCAATTCTTATGACGTCCTTGAATGAAATAATCAATCAGTTGTCTCTGGTTTTTATCACAAACGTAGTCATCAAATATAACAAGTTTTTGGTTGTCTTCGTAATCCATTTCTGTCACTGGGGTTATTTCATCATTACTCACATGAAGTATTTCATATTTCACTTTATGACTTAACTCTCTCATTTTTTGAATTAGCTTTTGATACTTATCCTGTTCTAGATTACGCGCGTAAAGATAAATCTCATCATAGTGCAGTAGTGGTTTGATTAACATGTGGTACAACAAATTAGTCTTACCACTTCCACTGTTTCCACAGATTAACATTCGAAACGTATCCGCTGGCATAAAATGAAATAACTGTTTATATTTTTTATTAATGTCATCGGTACTATCATAGTTTGGAATTTTCATTTATATATTTAATAGATAAAATGGATATAGAAGAATACAAAAAACTTGCAAAAAATAAAATCGAAGCTGATGCTTTGACTCGACAGGTGAGAGATGTAATAAAAATAACAAAATGGCAAAAACAAGATATGAGAGAAGGTTTTAAAGAGACATTTAAACCACTTATTAAATCTCAAGATAGCATTAAAAAAAGTATAGATGAGCAACAAAACGCAACTATAGCACAACTTCAAGCTAATCAACTTGCTCTTACACAAGGACTTAATCAAAACAGGATGGCTATAACTGAAGGATTTGATAAACTTGACGAAGTAAAAAAATGGGATTTGGCTCAATTACCTGGTTTTGAGGCGATTGAAGACTCACCTAAAGAAGACAAAGAAGATGAAGAAGACGAAGAAGTTTTACCCTCTACATCAGATGAAAAACCAAAAATAGCAAAATTCACACCTGAAGACCTAGATAGATATTTATTGAGTAAAGAAGCACTAGATATACTCAAAGATAATGAATACCACAAACTCCCTTCTGAGTATTTTGAAGAGGATGTTTCTACTATTGATAAAGTAATCGAAGATGTTAATAGTGATTTAGAAGAATTTAATAAAAGATTAAAAAACACCGCGGATTTTGTACGAGACGCAAACGGTTATGTTATAGCTCAACCAAAAAGTAAAAAACCACGAGAAGAAACATTAAATAACATAAAAAGTTATGACATATTAAGCATATTTTCAACAAACTTAAGTAATCTTAAGTATTTTAAAACAAAATCTGGCTCTGGAATGATTTACTTTAACAACCCAAATCAACTTCTTGGCAGACTTGAATTACTTGGTGGTTCAATTCTAGCTGGAAATAATGGTGTTATAAATGAGTTTTCTCAAATCGCACATCTTCTCAACCAAATGAAAGTAATCTCAAAAAAACAACTGAATGATTTACTAAAAATAGTGGAACCTACGGTTCCCCTATAACCCCTCCCTCAAATATATAATCATTAAATAAAAATGGAAGAACGAGCTATACACATTTCCTCAATTAATAGGGGAAAAAGAGGAACAAGTAGACCTGGTGATTTTACTATTAAATTTAATCCTTCTTTGAAACTCAACCCTGAAAAGAAACATCAACTTGCTCTTGATCGATTATCCATGACTTACTCTTGGTACAACATTAGAAGTGATTATGGAAACAATAAAATTAAATACACTCACGATGGGACCAATTGGCAAACAATTACTTTTGTAGATGGAATGTATTCCTACTCAGATATCAATGATTACATTCATCAATATATGTCTCAAGAGTCTCATCACTCAACAGATTCAAGTGGAAAAAAGACTTATTCAATCAATCTAACTTTTATACTATCTACCTATCGAGTGTTAGTATCACTTGAAGGTGATTATCAAGTTGATCTAAGAGGAACAGAATTTGGAGACCTGATTGGATTTGAAAAGAAACTTATTACAAAAACAGAGTATGGATTAAAACTACCAAATGTCACAAATTCGATTGACGTATTAAATATCAACACAAGCTCAATAACTGATAGTATTGTAAATGGAATAAATACAAATACCATAGCTGTGATACCAACTGATAATCTTACAAGGTCTTATCCATTTACGTTTGAACCTAAAAGACCATTGTATTGTCCTTTATCATCGTATCACATTGATGAAATGAGAGTCTATGTGACAGACTCACTTGGAAGACCAGTAAATTTCAACGGTATAGATTGGTTTATGACTTTGATACTTCACTCGATGTAATAATTTGTATAACTATTAATATAAAATGATGCGACAATCAGAGTTTAAAATGAGATTAGACCCTGAATTGGGTAGGTACACAAGACAACATATTTATGGAGAAGGAATGATGGATGTGTTTAAATCGGTTGGTAAAAAAATATTTGGAAAGACAATGAAAAAAGCTGCTAAAAGGGGTGCCCAAAAAGCGGTAACAATGACTGCAACAAAAACTGGCGAACATGTAGGTAAAAAGGCTGGTGATAAAATAGTGCAAATGTTAACCAAAGAAAAGGTTGCACCCAAAAAACGTACTAGTACAAAAAAAGTTACTTTTAATAAAAATGTTGAAACAATTCCAAACACTCAACAAGAGATAAATCGAAGAGTGAATGCCATTCTTAGTGGAGGTTCAACACGTAAGAGAAAATTATATAATTATTAAAATAAAATGAAGTCTTTTAGAAATCCAAAATATTTAGAAAGATATGAAGATGTTGTTTTTGACCTTGAACAGGCTTTAGCCACGCCTAGAAATAATGCTCATCAAATTAAAACAGGTCATAGATTTGTTGCTGATAACACAGGAGAAGCTACTCCTTTTGATTGGTATAACGCGCGATTTTCAGTAGATTTCAAAGTTGATCAGCTGGCTGCTGGAGCTGATATAGATGCAGATGGAGATCAAATGGGAATAGTAAATGGAAGTAATTCTCTAATAGAAAAGTTATCCATCCTAGCAAATGGTAGAGATGTTTACAGTTGCAACTATGCTAATCATGTAGTAAATATTAAGAATTTGCTTGAGTATAATCCATCTTATGTTGAGAGTGTTGCCACAAATGAATTTTACTATCTTGATACAACAAGAAATGCTGAAAGAAATAGATTTACAAAAAGGCAAGTAACTCACAGACGGAATGCAGCTAATAACGCTGATGAAGCAGGATTGATGATAGATGATGTTGAAGCTAATTATAACAACGGTTTTGCAGTAAGAAAAGCACTATTAGGCGACTCAGCAACTGTACGATGTGAAATTCCTCTTAACAGATATTCTTTCTTTGAATCATTAGAGGACAAACTTCTTCCAAATACAAAAATTGAATTGAATATAGAACTAGAATCGGATAACAATCTTATCTGGCGAACTGGAGGTAATGCTTGTAGAGTTATACTAACAAGATTTCAACTATTTGTTCTAAGATTAACATTTAACTCAGAAGGACAAAAACTATACATGGAAAATTATCTTAAGCCCTACAAATGGGTGTATCTTAATGAAGTAGTAGAGCGATCAAATAACTCTCAACAGCAAACAGGTCATTTTAGAATTACAAGTGCTATCTCAAAACCACGTCATGTCTTTGTTTTTGGAATTAACACAGCCAATATTGGTTCACAAACAGAAAATCCATTCCTGTACAACACTTTTAACCTACCAAACAATGCTAAAATATCTCGCTGTTATCTCGAGGTTGGAAATGGAAATGAGTACCCTGATATTCACTTTAAACCAGCTACAGATCCAGCAAGAGTTTTCAGAGAAGTAATGTCATACGTATATGCAAATAATGACTTTCAAGGTGGAACACTTCTCAATAGAACAAATTTTGAGTCTTTGTTCCCGTTTGTTTACTTTGACTTAACAAAACAAAAATTGGATATAAAAGATGGAGTTACAAAATTATCGTTTCATTACGAACTATCTGCTAATCCAAACGCTGATTATAATTTCTACGCTTTAATACTTCACGAACGAGAGGCAGAAATAGAACAGCAAGGCGGAAAACTATTGCTAAGAGCTTAAATCTAAATTATATATGCTCCAAATAACATTAAAAGTTCAACTACATAAGCGAATTGATAAAAAGTTAGTGGTAAAACAACAAATAGTTCAAGAGTTAACTTGATTGATCCATTGATTGTGACGAACCTTCCTTCAAAGCAGGAGGAGCTGACAACCGCTTAAGACGCTTTGTTTTCTTTTGATCTTTCTTTTCTTCAGCCTCCAAGAACCGTTTCAGTTTCATTTCTTTTTCCTTCCTGAATTTTGCAATTTCCACTTCAAATTTTCTTCTTCTTTTTTCTTCGATAGCTGCTTGCCTCGCAATATCCAATATTCTTGGCAATTGTGGGAAAAAGGATAGAAATGTATCTATATCTTCTTTAGCCATATCAACCAAGCAAGAGAAAAATGCACTTGAATTAAAGGTCAAAATTCCCATATCTGAGCCACCTCTTTCATTAGCCGAGTCTTTAAATTCTTGTATTTTCTTAATACAAGCATCCCTGCGTCCTTCCAACTGCCTCAAAGTATAAGGCATATTTCAAATTTGTATATGAAATGATAAGTTTACACAGAATTTTCTACCTGCGGTTATGAATACATAGAATTTTCTGTTAGTTTTTATGATTACACAGAATTTAATACAAGCGCTAAAAAAATGTGTGTAATCATTTGATTGGTTGAAAAAATCACACGATAATCTCGTGATTTAAACCAATAACCTTCTAGAAGGTCACTATGACATAATATTTAGATTTTAAAAATAAAATCTAAATATATCACACCTAGAACATTCAAACTAATTAAAAAACTTAACCACCAACTGAGAGAAAACAAATAAAAAAAGATTAAGTGATGTGATTAAATTTTATGTAAATAATATAATAAAAAATGACTACTTATATAGAATATGGAGTAACACTTACAGATGGACAAAAGTCAAAACTGGCTTCTGCGATAATAAATCAAACACCACTAACTCTTCGGTTAAAACATTCTCATCTTCAAGGTTCTGATGAGTTAATGTTGACAAAAAGACAAATTGATAAAATAAAAAAATCTCTTGTAAATGGAACAGGAACGGATATAAAAATAAGTAAAACTCAAATTAGAAAATCTGTGAAACATGGTGGAAACTTATTTTCATCACTCGCATCTCTCGGAGCAAAAGTTCTTCCTTACGCAGTAAAAGGAGTTTCAAAAGTTGTTCCCGCATTAGCAACTGGTGCTGCAACCGCACTCGGAGAAATTGGATTAAATAAAATATTTGGAAAAGGAATCACAATTCCCCCACAGTTTTTCCCAATGCTACCACCTCTTGTAAGAGAATTTACCAAATCACAAATAAATCAAATTAACAAAGCTTATCAAACAGGAGGTAGACTGGTTATTAAACCAACTCGTAAACAGATAGAAGGAGGATTTTTAGGTACACTTGCTTCTATTGGAATTCCAATGGCAATTAGTTTAGTATCTAAGATGTTTGGTGGGGGACTTCAGGTTGATAGACGTGGGTCATCTAATATATCAAACGTCTACGTTCCTCATCCTCCTCCTCCTCCTCCCACACATGGAGAGGGTTATCCTTATCGCTCACCACCCTTTATTGGTACATGGGAAAACCCTATAGGAATGGGAGTTAAAAAAAAAAATTCCAAAGGCAAGGGTCTACTATTAGGAAAAAACAGCCCATTCAACTCAATTCCCATTCTCGGCACCATTTTGTAGTGGGGGAACCTACGGTTCCCCCTACACCCCCCTCCCTTTACCATTCTCGGCACCATTTTGTAATTAAACCTCTATCCAACTTTGACCTCATGAAATGGTTAAAAAGACTTGGTATTAAAAATTTCAGAGGAATATATAGTCGTGATGGTCTACCAAACAAAATCAAAAAAGAATGTGGAATAATTAATCTGGATGATATAACAGGGCCTGGAACACACTGGGTTTGTTATAGAAATATAGATTCGGTAGTCGAATATTTCGATCCTTTTGGTTTGATAATGCCAAACGAAGCATTAGAGTATTTTAATACTTCTGGAAAACGTATTGTTTATTCGATAGATGAAATACAAAATCGCAGTACTGTTCTCTGTGGTTATTGGTGTTTATATTATTTATTCGAGCGACAACAAGGTACTAGTTTTCTAGATGTAATACATAACCCTCATTTTGATAATGACAACAGCGATTTTATAAAGTCATACTTTGGAGGATAAAAATAATATTTATTAAATATTATTTTTTTAATCTTCATCATCATCATCCGGCGCATTTTTTAGTAATTTAATTCTTTCAACTTTTGTATTAAGATCTTTAACAATATCAACTATATCATTAAATTTTGAGTAAATGTCAATAAGACGATAAAGTTTCTTCTTTTTATCACTATCTATTTTCAACCAAGAATACTCCTCATCTCTGATTTTTCCCCACATCTCACATTCACCAGCCATTAGCACTCTAGAAAGATCGTCGTTTTTCTTTCTAAGAGAATCAAACTCATTATTTATTTTTCTCCTTACTTCTTTCTCAAAATCCTTGAGTGTTTTAACATCCATCTTTTTTTCTATCTCAGAAAAGAATTTGGCTTCCATTTATTATATGAATAGATAGTTTCCTTTTACAACTTTGTTAAGCGTATTTGATTTCTCACTTATTTCCATAAGCAACTCAAATATTTTTATAAATTTAGTATCGTTTTCCAATCTAGAATGATCTACATATTCATAACTCAAGTTTAAAAAATCATATATCTTTTGAAGTTCACTTTTGACAAAATTAGATCTGGTAGACATACTTATTAGATGTATTTTATCTAAACATTATATTAAATGAAAGAATCTTATTGCATTAAAGATAAAAGAGTAACTCCTTGCACAGAGCCAAGTGGTTACCAATCTGATAAACGTGGGCGCACTCAATTCTTCTGTCATTGTGCAGTTTGTGGAATTAAAAAAGTTAGATACGTGAAAACTGGAACAGCTTCTCAAACTGGAAGTGGAAAAAGAAAAACTAAAAAGAAGTCAAAAAACTAGTAAGCCCGTCTGAAGGGGCGGGCGTCTTCGATACTGTTGTTGGTACAGCAGTTGATGGATTTGTTCATTACGGTTTACCTTGGATGGGAAAGAAAGCATTTGAAATGGGAAGATATGGAGCAAGCGAGTTAATGAGAAATAAAAATCTTCAGAAGAAAGCTGTAAATTATGGGATTAATAAACTCACCCCATTTATTCAAGATTCTGTTGGAACAGCAATGGATGAACTATCAACAAAAGTTAGACCAAATAAAAAGTATAAAACTGATAGACCAGAATTAGATGGGAAAGGAATAGATATTCACAAATGGATTGGAAAACTTCCAAAACCAAAAGCAGGATGGACTCCAGGTTCGTACAAATATATGGGTCCCTACAATCCTCTAGACAAACAATTAAGTTATAATCCTGAAACCGGAAAAGTGACAGAGTGGAAAGTTAAACCGTATAACAAAGTCGATGAGATTGCAGCTTATCACGATATTTGTTACGACATGGGAAGAAACAAAGGTGATTGCGATAGAGAGATGGTACAATCATTGGATGAGATACCATATGGTGAAATGCCAAAGTGGGGCTCAACTGCTAGATTCTTGATTAATACAAAACAAAAACTTGGTCTTGGCATTCAAAAAAACGTGAGTCGGCGTTGAGTAGTGATTGGTCTCAACAATTAGCCGACGAACTTCACAAACCAATCACACGAAACTTTCAAAAGAGATCAGTAATCTCAAACGGAATTGATGATATCTGGGCTGCTGATTTAGTTGAAATGCAAAAGTTTAGTAAGTGGAATAAAGGAATTAAATATCTTCTGATGGTTATTGATGTGTTTAGCAAATATGGATGGATTAAACCTCTGAGTAACAAAAAAACTGAAACTGTTAGTAAAGCATTTGATGAAATATTTAAATCAAGTAAACGTAAACCTCAAATGTTATGGACTGATAAAGGTTCCGAATTTATAAGCAAACATTTTAAAGATTTTCTGAAAAGAAAGGGTATCAAGTTGTATCACACTGAAAACGAGGAGAAATCTAGTGTTGTTGAAAGATGGAATAAAACAATGAAAAACAGAATGTGGAAGATGTTTACTGTGAATAACAACACTATATTTATTGGGATAAGATAGATAAACTAGTTGATGATTACAATAATGCGAAACATTCTAGTATAAAAATGACTCCTGTTGAAGCAAGTAAAAAGAAAAATAAAAATAAAGTTTGGTCTTATTTGTATGGTGATTCTATTTACTTGAAACCTGGTAAATCAAAGTTTGTGGTTGGTGATCGTGTTAGAATTTCTAAGTATAAGAGGAAGGTATTTGATAAAGGCTACACACCAAACTGGACAGAAGAAATATTCGTAATTGATAAAGTTTTACCTACAAAACCTGTTACGTATAGAATTGTTGATCTGATGGGAGAAGAAATTAAGGGTTCTTTCTACAACCAAGAATTACAAAAAACAAAACAACAAACATTTAGAATAGAAAAGATTATCACACGAGATAATAAGAAAAAAATGGCATTAGTAAAATGGAGTGGATATCCTGATAAATTTAACTCATGGGTGAGTTCTAAGGATTTGGTTGATTTTTAATACAAATAATGTATTAAAAATAAAATCCTATTATTACTCTTCATCATTAACTTTTACAATTAATGCTTCAAGACCATCTTTTGTATAATCACCCTCACTCTCACTCTCACTCTCTTCCTTTTCCTCTTCCTCTTCAATTGCTAGTAAAGACTCTCTAGGTTTGAGTGGTTTAACATAGCACTCATGTACTTTTATTTGTAAAGATGTCACAGTTTTACTTATGAAGATTCCTTCAATTATCAATGCCAATTTAACATTACAGTATTGTTCGATATATTTAAAAGGATTTAAATCTTTACCTCCCTTTCCCTTAAACAAAGATAAAATTTTCTTTGATTTTTCTGAGTAAATAAGTTTTGCGTAGAGAACTGGTGCGGATGATTCATCAACTTTTGTTTTCTTTTTTCCTTTCTTATCTGTATATTCAATCTGTTTGTAATAAAATGGTGAAGATAGAGTTGATGCTAGATCTGCACCATATTCACTCTCTAAATGATTTTGACACATTGAAACAACATTGTTTAGGGTTTCAAAAAATGATAGTTCTTTAGAATTTGGGACACTATTTTAACTCCAAAGACATACTGGTATACTATAACCAACTAACTTACCTGTTTCTTGATTTTTCTTCTCACTTACTCCAAAAGAGAAAAGAACTGGAGACTCAATTACTAAAGCTCCTTTCTTTCCATTTGGACATTTGATTTCAATTGGGATACGTTTGTATTTGATCTTACTATCTTTGACTTTAAATTCTTTGGCTTCTTTAAAGATAATATTGTCTTGGGTAAGATTTTCGTAGCTGGATAACATCATTTTATTAATATTTAGTTAATCTTTAAACATTTTTTTCTAAAAATTCAAATTTGTATCTATCCCCATCTTTTTTGGAAATCACTGTTTTATAATATTTTACTTTCCTACAAATATTAGAAATAATTGAAAAGGAAATATCTAATTCGAGTGAAGCAGAATTAATACTTTCATAATTTTTTTGTTTGTTATTTTTAATATTAAATGATAATATAGGTTTACTATTTCCTTTTCTAATACTTTCTGAGACAGTAATTGTAAATTTTCTATTTTATTATTTGTTTTAACAGAATCAATATGATCAATAACAAATCCTTCTGGAATAACACCTCTTACACATTCCCATTCAAACCTGTGTATATAGTAAGTTTTTGGTTTAATTAGATTTTTATCGCTCATTTTAAACTGATAGTAACCCTGATAAGTCAAATTTTTTTTTAAAATTCTTTCAGTTTTTACATTTAAAATTTCACCGTCTTTTGAAGCGGCATAATTAGTAAAAATAGGATGAATATAGTACGACTTTCCACCATTTAAAATTTTTTTGCGGTTCATTTTTAAAAAATCTTTTAATTCTTAAACCAATTTACTACCAAAGAAGTTTTGTTGACCAATAGTTCGCCGATTCAGGATTATTATAAGTTAACTCCCCCTGTTTATTTTTAACCTTTGTAGCACGAGCAAGATATTTATCTCTTCTATCTTTGTCTTTGTGAGTAAGATAATCCGCATATTTTGTCGATCCAAAATGAACTTTTTTTCCACTTGAAAGAGTGACCATGTATTTGTTATTTTTTCGTGTTGAATAATCAAGTGATTCAGCACCGAGTTTTTTAGCATTTCTGGTTAGTTTTTTAAACTCTTTTCCACTAACAAGATATTTTTCATCTGGAATATAATCTGGGTCAACATCTTGTCTATAACCATCATCAACTATAAAATCCAAATCCTCTTTTGTAGGAGTAGTTTCTCTTGATCTTGGTTCCATTTTATTATTTTGATTAGATTATTCTTGTTAGGAAAATCCCCTAAATACACTCAATTAATCAAATTGGAATTTCCCCTAATATTAATCTTACCAATTTAATCTTATAACAAAAAAAAATGTTATAAGATTTAAAAATATTAATCACCATCAGTGTCACTATCACTAAAACAATATCTGTAGCGATATCTATTTCTTTCAGCATTATAATCCCAAAATCTATCATTGGATTCATATTTTATTTTAAACTTACTACAAAATATTACAAAATCATAATAAATATTTTTAAAACCAGGATAGGGATCAACAGAATTTTGTTCATCTCCATCTCCATCATAACAATCTTTTCTATATTTAATAAGATTATTTAAATCATTGAAATTTTTTTTAATCCTAATTAAGTTTTTAATATCACTAGATTTAATCTCAAAGTTACTTAAATCTTTAAAATAACCTGAATTTTGATATAACAAAAATTTGCTAATAAATTTTTTTATTTTATCAACTCTAAAATTTTCAAATAATCCACGAGTTGCTTCGTTCATGTTATCAAGAAAATACTTAAATTCATTATTAATACCTAATATAAAAAGGTATTCATTCTTAAAATCCTTTGCGTAATCTGGGGTATTCTTGATAAACATTGTGTTTTATTATTATGTTAATTTCTTTAAATCATTTTATTTTTTCCACTTCAACCTTAGTAAAACAGGTTTTACCAGAAAATAGTTGATAACAGTACTTAATCAGCTAATGACGTATTTAATCAGAAAAAAAAGTCAATGATAGAAAATAACCAGAAAAAAAGTACAAGACGTAAGACACAAATTAATTGAACAATGACAGAAGATAAACTCAGAAATTTTTTGAAAAAAGTACAAAAATTTGTTTGTCTAAATTCCGTCATTGAAATTTGGGGTCGAATGACGGAAATAATTGAAAAATGACAGGGAAAAAGTACCAAGTGAGTGAGAGACATGGCATTATTACATAACTACTTGTGGGAACTTTTTATGTAAAAGAAAAGGGTAGTTGCTCATAATTTGAACTTACTTTGACAAGAATTCCCGTGAGAAGAAAAAAATCAAAGAAATATTGTAGCAGGGAGGTGGATGCCACCTACATGTTCTTGTCTAATTTTGGTCCTTCCTATTTTTTAAGACATGTTTTTCTAAACCTAAGGGACGATTGGTTTATAGCGGAGGGATACGATAAGTGCCACGTAGGTGGTGACCATCATATGGGATATTATTTTTACCTTATTACAGGATCATCAGGTTTTTCCTAGATTGATGTTATCTAGTAGGTTGATTCATCCTAGTATTTTTTTAAAGTTTATTTTTCCTAAAGAAAAGCTGTTGATTTTTGGACAAGGATAGCTTAATTTTGAACAAGACAAAACAATGAATAATAAGAGATCGTAAAGCAAATGTTTCTACTTCAAAAAATTCAACAATATTGATTCGCTCTAGTTATGTATAAATTGCTTCTGAATCAGAAAAAAAAATTAAATTTAGTCAAGATCCAAAAGCTTCACCACGGTGGCGTTTGTTGTAAGTTAAAGTTGTTTTTTTGTTATTGTTGTCCGCTGTTTTTGGCTGTTATTGCTCCGACTAATTTTTCCTCTATTTTTGTTGCTGTCTTCTTTGTCTCTGATTCTATAAATACGATCAAAGTTTCACAAACTACTTGAAGCAGACAATTAAAGATAATTACCTTATCGCTCCTGTTCCTTAAAGTTTTCTCTTATCTCTTACCTCGCAAAGTTGTACGGCCTTATCCGAATTACGTCGTGTAATTGGAGAAATAACTCTTCTTACAGAAGCAAACATATCATTTATCATCTCAAGTAAAACGTCTTTGTTCTTGAATCTACCATATGAATTCACAAATTCCGTGGATATATTCAGTATATTTGTGGTATTAGTTCTCTGAATCTGAAACAAAAAATAGATTGCACCAAAAGAATATTATTCTTGGCTTTTGTAAAAAGCAGGGCTTGTTTGTTTAAAAGTATTCAGCAAGAAACATAAATGGAGTAAGTCCTAGAAATTACTTTTTCAGGCATTAATTGTATCGCTACATCTCCAAATTGGTGGAATAACAGTATTAAGGTGTATGTAACATTCAACTCTTTTTAAATTATGTCATTTTGAACGAGATTTGTAGCGAAATGATATTCTTAAACATTCAATTCAGTCTTATTCCGGCACACGGTCAATTAAACGCGCCCAGAGTAAATTTCCGCATTCTCTAAAATCACTCAGCCAATATATAAATCATCTAGGAATGCTGAAATAAACGGCTTCTAAGTAAAAAGGTATAGAATCTTAAAGTGCAAGAAATAATTATGAAAGGTTGATTAGAGGTCACCCGGTACTGATTGCTCAGTATTCCTGTCACGATTAGCCATAACGCTGTCTCTTGAGCTTACGCAGTCGAATAATTAAGAGAAAGATTTTTTTCTTGTCTCTATGGAATAATTGGAAGACTTATTGAATTCCACTACTATTGTTTCAATTACAATAAGCGCATACAATTAGTAGGGGATTGCCCGAGGAGATGCCAGTCATCAGGTACGTCGAAATTACAACTGAACTCGCCTAGTTTTATAACGCGAGAAATTCATTGTTCTTTACTAACAACTTTTCCAAAAAAGTTCCTTACGACTGGTGGAGAACCCGGTCATCAAGTACTATAGAAAATCGCAAACCAATTAATTATCCTTTAGTGACAACTTCTCCAAAAAAAGCCCTTACAATTGGTGGAGAACCCGGTAATGAAGTACATCAAAAATCAAAAACCAAACCTTTAATGCTCTTTGCTGCAAATTCGAGAAGGGACGGAACCAGACGTCCTCATTGAAGAGTCATACTAGCAGGATGGTAGTAACTAAAGACAGGCGTTTTTGATTTGTGAGGAGCTGATATTTGTCAGTTTTTATAAATGTATTAATTGAACATACCATTTTCCTATCAAAAACAACTGTAGTAACGTCCTACCTTTTCTCTGAAATAATCCACCAAGGCTCTTAGTTCACAACCGCACGTGATCTTGTGAAACCAAGTTGTTCCAAGTCTCCAGTCAGTTCTGCACATACTGCTAAATGAGCCTACATTTGTATAAATTGAGGACGTTTGAGACTAGTGATTAGAGACTGCACCGTTACGGTCACCGAATTGTAATGTGGATACTCCGTGTGTCCTATGCGTGTTTATGTTATTAGTGCATGCATGTAACAAATATATCCTATTTTATGTCATTCTTTTTTCTTTCTGTTCAATTACGGATCAGTGAAGAGGACCACCTCGCTCGCTCGTTGGCCACTTATTTGTTCTTACTGCATTTTAGGTTTCCTCTAATCTGTAAGTGAAGAACCACACGGCAAAATTTGATCTCTTTGCTCTATGTAATAACCGAAAAAATAATAGAAATTAAGCCTGACTGTCAGCCATATTGGACAAAACAACGATCAGACATTGATTATATGAATAACTACATTACAATTTTTAAAATGGTACAGTGTAAAGAAGTTAAATATAGCTTTGAATTGTGTGTTTTCTTATGACGTCATGGTGGCCATGTTTGTGTCCCAAAACAATAAAACGGCTGCCATGTTTGAGTCCCAAACCAGTCCTGTGGGAGTTGAACTCTTTTCTTATATAAACGCTTTCTTTTCTTCCAATACATTTGCATAGATGCTGGCCACGTGAGTGAAAACACAGAATACATCCTAAAAAATGGGTGGTGACAATGCAAGAGATAAGTAAAAACCAAGTACAGCGCCAGCGGTGAAATGACAATGGTCTATTGGTACATGTAGCTATAATTATACCTGTCAAAATTGAGTCAGCTAATGAGCATTCTACTGTTATTTCCTCTCCAGTCTTTGCTCGAGGCCACTTCACGCCAAACTTTATCTCGGACTGACGGAAATCTGAAACGGGTAAGATATACTCGTGTAAAAGAGCGATTTTTGGCCAGACGATTTTCCCTACACGCAGGTCTCTCAAGACCCTTCAACTAGAATAACAAAGCCGAATCAGATGGAGTTAATAGCATTCTATAAGGGGGTAAACGCCTTAGCTGCGCTGACCCTTCAAACCTTTCGACTTTTACAGCAGGAAAGTGAATATATGAAATTTGATTCACTTAAACTGCGGGAAAAAGATTTAGCACTTGCAAAATAAAGCAAAAGCGTTTCCTGCTACCATATATTGGTGAACCTACAGTGTATGATATTTTTCACCAAAATCCAAGATGGCCGTCTTTCGGAATACGGAGCATCTGGTGAAACAAATCTTCGGTACACCTTTTTTGCAAGCTATGTATGACCATGAATTGTTATTTTCAACTTGTTGAAGAGAGCAGATATGGCCTTAAGGATTAAAATTAAACTTAAAATGAGCCCATCGTAATTGCCTTAGATCCAGAAAAATAACTTTTGTTTTTTTGTTTAAGCGAACCTCTTTTACTGACCACGCAGTGTTGTTAAGTTCTTGCTTTAATGGGTTTTACACTCATAACTTACGGTTAGAACAGTTCTTCTCATCAGAGAAATCATAGCAGT